CAGCCAGTGATTGGTGCAGAAGGAAGGCCTGGCAGCCAATGATTGGTGCAGAAGGAAGGCCCCAGCAGCCAGTGATTGGTGCAGAAGGAAGGCCCCGGCAGCCAGTTTTGATAGCGGCCATACAGAACGTCTGAGCTGCCGTAGTTCCCCAGCTCAGGGGGAGGGGACTGAGAATCTCAGGAGACTGCCAGCTTAGGCCTTAAATCGATGGCACCCTGCCTGGGTGGGGCAGTGGTTGGAGTCAGGAGCTGCCCTAAAATGACGGAGATTAGAATCACCTGACACTTGTCAATCACTCAGCCTTTTCTGACGGCGCCCATAAGCGTTCTCAGATTAAGTTCTCATGCTGTCCTGGTGAGCTTTCGTGATCTCGATTCCGATATCTTTTGATAGGAACGTTTTAACGAGTTCCATCACCGGGCAACCTCTAAGCTACTTGTTAAGAAAATGACTCGAGGCCGGGCGGCGGTGGCGCACGCCTTTAATCCCAGCACTCGGGAGGCAGAGGCAGACGGATCTCTTTGAGTTCGAGGCCAGCCTGGTCTCCACAGCGAGTTCCAGGAAAGGCGCAAAGCTACACAGAGAAACCCTGTCTCGAAACAAACAAACAAACAACAAACAAACAAACAAACAAAAAGATTCGATAGGTTAGGGAGCTGGCTCAGCGGGTAAAGGCGCTTGTAGTCAAGCCTGATGACCCGAGTTCAATACCCCAGACCCACGTGATGGAAAGACACTGACTTGTAGGTTAGAGCCTTGGGTCATGTGAGAATTCCAAGTGGTAACAATGAGGAGCGACCCACCTTCGCTGAGGGCTGATGCTGTCCCTGCTTATACGCCCCGGGCAATGCTCCACGCTCCAAGGCTGGACCCTCCTTATCTGATACCCCAACTGCCTGAAACTTCCCACCACTGGGAGATTCCTTCCTACGCTTGTGGCTGCTAATTCTGTTTCTTCCCAAGGAGGTTAATGAGTAGAAATTCTCTACCCTACGGAAGCCCCGGGGTAGAAGAATTCTGAGAACCACAGGGCGGAAGAATCTCAGAGTTCTTTCTCAGCTAAAGCAGTTTTCAGACCCTGGCACTCTCCTCAGGAGGGGGGCGGTGTTGAGATTTCTTGTCCAGGCTGTTCCTCACATTTGGTGCCTTAAAAGGGGATGCCTGGGACTGGGGACAGTATTTAAGGTGTTTGTGTTTTTACAGAAGTTGAGCCACTTGTAAAAAAAAATTACTTTTTTAAACATCGTATCTTCGTTATTGAAAATTATAACTCCACAAATCTCAGAATCCAAATTAATCTAATCATAATTCATATCAAATATGAGTGGCTGGAGTTGCCTGCCTTCTTCTACTCTGAATGGACAGCACATGCTTGCCGTACAGGTCACCCTTCTCCTAAAGTGCTCACCCTAAGGCTTCCTACGTCACCGGAAATCGGTCTCTTCACGTGCCCCTCTGAGGATGCACGGAGATGTCCTGAGAGAAAACAAAACTTTTACCAAGTCCGTTTATCAGTAAGCCGGCGGCGGCGGCGAACATTACCCACAACGTTAAGAGCAGAACCTACCAAGAGCTGACTTCCTGACAATGGTGCCCGCACTCAGCCTTCGGGCCGTGTCTCCCATCCCTCCCACTTCCAGCCTCCCCAGCCACAGCAGCGTGGCACGGCCCCTGGTCATTGGTAGGATGTCTGCGTAGCATCCTGGTGAGGATGCTGAGGGCGGTGCGGGCTGGGCTCGGGTGTGAGGGGCGTGTTCAGACAAGGACGGGGATTCTGGCTCATCGGCAGCCTGTGCGTCTGTCCCCTCAGCAGCCTGTGCGCCTGTCCCCGTGTCCCCACAGTGCCCTCGGTACTGCACAGCTACATCCGGAACCAGGAGCGCACAAAGCAGCAGACCACGTATGAGAACGACTACGGGAAAAACTGCCTGGACTTCTTGATGATCTTAGACTCATTCAGCCCCTCCCAAGTCAGCAGGTACCTGGAAAGTGTTTCCAACAAAGGTAAGAGGCCTCGAGTGACCACTTCATACGTTCATCGGCGTAGTGAACGCCTTTCTTAATACACTGTTCCTATTCCGAATAAGCTGTTCCCGTTTTAACCATTGGTGTTGAATATAATAACAAAACCAAACAAACAAACAAAATCCCCCCCCCCAAAGAACAAACAAACAAAAAGACAAAGACTACTGTCTTAGTTAGGGTTTCTGTTGCTGTGAAGAGACACCATGACCACAGCAACTCTTATAAAAGAAAACATTTAACTGGGGCTAGCTTACGGTTCAGAAGTTTAGTCCATTGTCATCATGGCAGGAAGCGTGGCTGCCTGCAGGCAGATGTGGTGCTAGAGGAGGATCTGAGAGTTCTACATCTTGATCCGAAGGCAGTGGGAAGGGACAGTGAGCTATACTGGTCCTGGCTTGAGCATCTGAAACCTTAGAGTCTTCCCTCAGTGACACACTTCCTCCAACAAGGCCACTCCTACTCCAGCAAAGCCACACCTCCTAATAGTGTCACTCCCTATGGGCCTATGGAGGTCATTTTCTTTCAAACCACCTCACTACTTTAAAAAAAAAAATCCCAAAGTGCCATACAAACCTTGATCATTGGAAACTTACTTTCCTGAAAGGCACCCCAGAGACTCTTGTTCTCATAGCTCTGTCTTATGCATCTGGTCTCACCGCATGGGTGGTTGAGCTGTGTGTGCTGGGGTGACTTCTCTTCCCTCCAGTTGGCTTTGGTACTGTCTCACAGTTTTGCTGTGTTTTGTTTACGCTTTATTTCCTGTTCGGTTGTACTTCTTTAGTGGCAGGCCATTTACACACAAGAATCCTCATATTTCACACCCCCCGAAGAGCAAGTGCCATCTCAGGACAGGATGGAGTTGTTCCATGTGACAAGCTTAGCAGACCAGCTCTGGGATGTCCGGTAACCTGAGAAAGTATAAATTGTCACCAAGGGAACAAGGGAGCCTGAGGACAGGAAGCAGTCCTTTCTGGTGTGTGTGTGTGTGTGTGTGTGTGTGTGTGTGTGAGTGTGTGTGTGTGTGTGAGAGAGAGAGAGAGAGAGAGAGAGAGAGAGAGAGAGCTCACAACCCAATGTAGGTGTGAGTATCACGGAAGGTGAATTTCTATGCCACAGATGTGCTGTGTCCACACTAATTTTAGGAGGAAGTAAAAGAAACATAGGAAGAGGGTGTAACGTTTTCAGGTGTCCTAAGACCCAACTTTGTGCACAAGGCAGTGTGGGGCCACCAGCGACTTCCTTTTCTGTGACCAGGCTTATGCTGCAGATGGCTCCCAGTTGCTTACTCTTCAGTGGTACCCTTCCACCTCACCCCTCTCTGTGCCCCCTCCATCCCTAATCACCACGCCTCACCCCTCCCTTGCCAAAGAGTTAACGCTAAAACTGACTCTCCCCTCCTGCCGCCGCCGAGATCTCCTGTTGTGTGCGCATACACGGAATCAGAAGGAGAACACGGACCTTGGAAGTCTCCCCCTTCACTTTTCATTTTGCTCTTCCTCTCTTGAATCAGAAGCTCACTGTTTGGCTGGGCTGGCGATCAGCAAGCTCCTTGGGAGTCATTAATCTTGGCGTTCCAGTGCTGGGATCATAGCCACTCGAAACCCCGGGTGGATTTCTTTATGTGGACAATAGGAATTCAAACTCGGGTCCTTATGCTCGCAAAGTAAGTGGTTTTACCCACTCAGCCATTGCTCTAGCCTTTCAAATGCTTTTAAGGATGGAAAACACACACACACACACACACACACACACACACACACACACACACACACGCACACTCCAAGAAGAAACAAGTGCCTGGATGTTGGACATCGGGGAAACAGACTAAACAGCTGCTTTGCCTCCCATGGAAGCAGAAGTGTGTTTTGTCCTGGGAGCCTCATTCCTCTCAACAGATGCCTCCAGGCCAGGCTGTCTCTTCAGGAGGCACTGAGAGCCTTCTGGAAGCCTGAGTCCCTGAGACACAGGGGAGTCCACCAGCAAAGCCGGGCCGCCTGCCTGCTCCCTCCACCGTTTTGGTGTAAATTGTGTAAAGCCACTCTCTGCAAAGTGCTCACTTTACCTCTAAGAGTCACATCCCTTGGGTCCACGGGAGGAGGAATTCTGCTTCCTTCCGAAGGTGCTGACATCTGCCCAGGGATCCGGGACCAGCCAGACCAGATGTGGCCATCACAGGGGCCAGACATCTGGTTTCCCACACTCCGTATGTGTGCAGTCTGAGGCTTGGCCTTGCTCCCTAGGAGGGAGCTGGAGGGCGGGGGTGGGGCGCTCTGCTAAGTGCCTTAACTTGACCTCTGTTCTCCCTAGGGAAGATGAACTTTCCAGGCAGTGAAATTTGTCCATCCAGTCAGTATTCCCTCCCCTAGGCCTGCCAGTAAACCATGTAGGTACCGGTGGGAGAAGTTAGGCTTTTGTTTCTTTGGTTCTTCAAGGCAGCATTGGGGGCAGATACCGGAAAGCACACGGCCCAGAGCTTTAGCTCTATCACGATGCCCTGGGCTGCTGGAGAAGCCGCCTTATCCCAACTCCAATGCCCTCACCCACTGCTGCTGCTGTTATGGGCCGCTGGCAAGTGGGAGGTTCCCTCAAAGCTTTTATGCAGCAAACCTCTCCTCATCTTCTAGTGTGAGGGATGATGGGAATGCCTGTCACATCCCAGCAGCACTTCCACAGCGGGGCTCAGCTGGATTTCAGAATGAAGAGACCTGAGATGTCTTAGGCTCACTTATTATCGGCTCAGCTTAAGTCATGTGGTTGGATTATCTTGTGTGAGCAGTCAGCTTCTATGGGCTAGGAGACCCGAGTAGTGGTATTTTTTATTGGAAATAGGGAGGGAACGGGGGAAGGAGGGAGGGAGGGAGACAGAGAGAGGCAGAGACCCACAGAGAGAGAGAGAGACGGTGCAGGGAGGAGGAGACACTAATCTTCCCCCAAGTAACACCCCAGGTTGGGGTGGGAGGCATGGCAGGCTGAGGAAGGGTAGCGGAAACAGCAGAGCTGGAGAAGGGAGAGAGACAGGAAAACAGGCCGCTGTGTCCAGGAACCCTCTGCCGCCACTGTTTGGTACAAACATCTCTCCTGTGAAATCTGAAACCCTGTGAGCACCCACGGGACCACAGGTGAAAAATTCCACACCTTACTTCACACCAAGTGTCACAGTTAAAGCGCAGGCGTGTGAAAAACGTTGCACACAATTATCCCGAGCTTCTGTCTGCGAGGCGCACAGGAGAGAGAAGCAAATTCTGTGTTTAGACTGGGATCCAGTCTCCCAGGGACCTCTCCACATATGTGCCCATATTCCCAAGCCCAAGGAAAACCTGAAACATTTTGAGTTCTGAGCATTTTGGAAGAGTGATGCTTAAATCCATATTGAGTTTGTTTCTAACTCAAGAAGCTTGGACTGTGTTCTTCAGTGGACAATCTATGTTCAGAATTCTTTCGTCCTGGGTTTGATTCCAACAACCTGGAAGCTGACAGTCCCTGCATATGTCATCTGCTGGGAAAAGCCCTGTTGTCGGCCCACTCTCCTCCCACTTGAGTGATAAAATTATCTGAAATCTGGTTTTCGCTATATCTTTAAGTTACGACTTCTTCCCTATTTTTTACACCAATATAAAATGTGTAAGGTGTTTCTCTCAAGCCTGTAATTCAGAAGTCAGGATGCATGGATTGGGGCTGGAAAGATGGCTCAGTGGTTGAGAGCACTGGCTGCTCTTCGAGGATCTGGGTTAAATTCCCAGCATCCATCTGGCAGCCCACAAGCATCTCTAACTCCAATTCCAGGGAATCTTACACCCTGTTCTGACCTCTAGGGGTACTGCATGCACATGGTACACAGACATACATACAGGCAGAATACCCTTAAACATAAATAATTTTGAAAGGAATGCATGTATTCAAATCCATCCTACTAGGGAACTCACTGTGCAGTGGGGGAGACAGAAGCCTAAGTATAACGACATAGACCACCATGAAAGAACTAGCTGATTCTAGGAAAAGCCTGTGCGGGGTGCTGTCAGCCCTAGGTCCACAGCAGATGAGAGGTAAGTTCTCAGGTCAGCATGGCCCTCATATCAAGAAGTGACAGGGCTGTTCCAGCCGAGAGCACTGGAACTGGAACAACAGAACCAGAATATTTGTATAAAGGGGGATTTATTGGATTGCTGTACAGGGTAGGGGCTGGGTGGTCCAACAGCCATCTGGAGATAAAGAGAACAAGACAGCTGCCCAATCCAGGAAGCACCCAATCAGTACTCCCAATCGGGAACCACATTAGGTCCAGACATTCTCTGGAGAGTCTAGGAGTCTGTGCTGGAAGGACAAGTCAGCACGGGATGGCTGCAGCCAGCCGGACACACCAGCTCAGGAAGAGGCGCTGACCAGCACCTGATGGCTGCTTCCTCTCCAGACTTCTTCCTATGCAAGTCGTCCTTTGGAAGACACCACCCTCACCGAGGCCAGCCTCCCCTCCTCCCCCACCCATGAGTCGATCTTCTCTGGAAGCACCCCAACAAATCCACAGGTATGGCTGAATTCAGTCAAGTTGTCGATCATCATCAACCCCCACAAACATAACAAACACAGCCGTCGAAGCACAGCGGGCCTTCCCAGCAGCTTGGCTGACACTGAGTCTGATGGACACCGGGTCGTCTTGTTTTGGCTAATGTGTGCCCAGTTTGAGTTACTCTCGACGCATGTCTTCATTATGGGAAGGGCATTTTGTTGCTTCTAGACTTCAGTGTAAACTTCAAAACTACAGACAAGCTGAAGAAGGAACAGACTGGGTGACAGCGGTTGGTGACATGGAACATACAGAATTCCCACATGTAGGGGAACGTCAAATAGAGGAATCACTCTGGGAAGAGCTCCGATGGCATCTTAAAAATTTAAACATAACGCCTATACCGTGACTTAGAAATTCTACTTCCGGATATTGGCCTGTGAGAAAAGAAGGTGTACAGCCACCAAAAGACTCATACAAAAATATTTATAACAATTTCATTCTTAATATCCCAGAACTGGAAACAGCCCCCATCTCCATCGACAGAAAAAAAAATGGAAGTGTGATATTTTAACAACTTGGCAATAAAAGGGAGCACATTCCTGATAGAGAAAACAAAATGTACAAACTCAAAAGATGCTGAGCAACAGCAACAAAATCCAAACATTAAAGACGAGCTCTTGTATGATTCCATTTATGTGAAGGTCCACAGCGGGCAAATCTCATCCACAGTGAAAGAAATGGGAGCAGAGGCTGTGTTGGGGTCAACAGTGTTGACTGGGAAGCATCGAGAAGGGCTTCCTGGGTGGTGGAAGTCAACTCTAAGTGGGTGTGGCTCATCGGTGTACAAAAGTCAACGGACTAACATTGTGTGTAAGGTCAGTGGATTTTGTTCCATGAGAGGCGCCCCTGAGTTCAAAAGGACTGAGATCAAGGACGAGATAGGATAGAGTAGGACTAGCTCACAAATAAATGCAAATGTAACTATCGAGGACACAAACTACGTGTACACACTGTGGGAAAAGACTAGCCTTGGCATCACACAAAGAGACACAAAAACAAAGTGGCCCAGCGAGGCAATTTGTTTTTGTAAAATATGTAGGCTGTGACCCAAACTGGGCTAGCAAGCACCCAAGGCCAATGGGCCTCTGTCTTTCATCGCTAATGCAGAGGGACTTGGTGGTTCCTCTCTGGCTGTGGTTGGACCTCATAGTCTGCTTTTGATTGGAAAATGGCATAAGGAAATGGAGAAGGAGCGAGCCACTCCTGGCTGTCAAGTTCTGGGAATGTGGCGGGGCTTTCCCACAAACAAAGTCTTACCCGGTAGAGGAGTTAAAACTCTTGAATTCCTTTGCATAAATGTTTACAAGGTGGGAGAAATTTATGGTATATTGGTCCTTGGTGGACTAGCTATGTTTGATGTTATTGTTTCTTAACACACACACACACACACACACACACACACACACACACACACACACACACGCACACAGCCTTGATCTATGGGTCTCAGCTGGCATTGTGACACTGAGCAAGAGAATGACTGACCATGGTGGATGACAATTCTGGGCATGAAGAGTTCCACAGTTCCACCCTATGTGAATGTTGTTAAGACTGGGGAGTCGCAGGTGTTCGGAACCAGACAGGACTCTGCTTCACAGCCCAGGAGTTGAAGGTTCTCCCAAAGGTGGGCAGCAAAGGCCACCAATGTTGGGCAGGAAGAAAAGAGCCCTGAATTCTACAGAGCGTCCAGGGCAGGTCCCCATTTTCCTCACCACTGTTTATTACTATGCACCCTGGAAAGGCAGACGAGGCTGCTAATTAATTAACATCACACATTAATTTAATATGTGATATCCCACACAGTGGGCTCAGCTCTCCCCGCAGTGCAAGGTGAGTGTGGTGATCTGCATTCAGAGATGAGGGACAAAGATGTGACTTAGATCAGGCTTGTTGGCACAGAACTGAGCTGTGGGTCTGTGTCCTTCACGAGCCCGTGCCCTTTCCAGTGAGCACGCTGATTCACTCTGAACGGTTAGGGCACCGTGCCTCTCTGCACCGTACATAGGACCCTCAAATCATACTTTCATATCAGACTTGCGAATAGCATCCTCCTTCCAGAGATTTACTTCCTCTGAGGATTTTGCTGTTCGGTGTTTGTGTGGGAAACCTCTGCTTTTCTTTATTGGCAGACAGGCAAATTCTGGATCGCTTCATCCGTTCTCATTGTGATGCCAATCAGGGGGCAAACGAGAAAGGAAAACGGAGTTGCTCAAAGAGACCCTGAGGCCAGCGACGTGGCCAGCCCCACCCAGTCGTCTCCTAACCATCAAGGAGAAACAGGTGAAGTCGCTCCAAGTGCATTGCGGTGGTATGAATGTGTATGTTCTGCTGTGTTCTGTTTTCAAATGAAACCAATTAAAGTTCTAGCTGTGTCCCATAGGTTCTGATGTCACGTGTTTTCTTCTTTTTATTTATTATTTTTTATAGCTTTTGGTTTCAATTTTGAGTTCCTCTCCAGAGAAGTTCCAACTTCCCAACAATGAAAATATTTTAAAGATGTTTCCATTGTTGATTTTTATTTTGAATGCTGTAAAAAAAAAATCTCCACTTTGGGGAATTCTTCAAAGTTTTGCTGTGTGTTGTTAATCCAACATGTGATTATACCTTACAATAATATATGAGAAAAATTCACTTATGTGCTCCCGAAATCCTTCTTATTGTTGCCTTAACTGTATTCTTCGACTGTCAAGTTCTGAAAAAAATATTAAAAACATCAGACAAGCCAGGCAGTGGCGGCGCACACCTTTAATCCCAGCACTCGGGAGGCAGAGGCAGGAGGATCTCTGTGAGTTCGAGGCCAGCCTGGTCTACAGAGTGAGTTCCAGGACAGGCACGAAAGCTACACAGGGAAACCCTGTCTCAAAAAAATTAAAAAAAAAAATCAGACAATAAACATAGTCTCATCAATCTCTTCCTGCATTTTGGGGATTTTTTATCATTAAAAAAAAAGTTTTTATGTGTATGGGTGTTTTGCCTGCAGGTATACAGGTGTACACGCGTCCACATACCAGCAGTGTCCTGGTAAGCCAGAAGAGGGCGTCTGATCCCCTGGAACTGGAGTTACAAATGATTGTTCGCCTCCTGTGGGTGCTGGGATCTGAATCAGGGACCTCTGCAAGAACAGCCCATGCTCTTAACCACTGAGCCATCTCTCCAGCCCACTCTGCTCTATTTTTGACTGCGGGATTATGTGAAGCGCCTCTGCAGACTAACTTTCCCATTACATCGTCCTTTTTCAAAGCTTGGCTCGTGTTTTCACATCGAATTGCATTTGAATTGCTGTTAACATTGCGTTCATTTGTTTCTTTTTCCTTTGCATTTACTCACCGCGTTCCCCTGCCACACACTCTCTCCTGTCTTAACTTCCAGTCCGTTTTTCCCCCTTTGTAAATTTTATGTGTGTGGATGTTTCGTCTGCACATATGAATGTGACCATGTGCGTGTTTGGCAGCCTCGCAGATCAGAATAGGGCACTGGATCTCCTGGATGCAGTGGTGGTGAAGCTTTATTCACTCGATTTTAGGTCTTCTATACCAGTATTGCTGTCTGCCGTTCTTGCTCTTCCAATTTTCTAATTTTCTCTCCCTTTTAAGCACATAACTTTTCATTTTCATCCTTTATCACACATTATTATTACTACATTTAAATTTCTCCACCCAAACATACATGTAAACTACATAACCCCTATATTCTCAATGCTTTAGCTCCTTACCTATCCCCTTGTTTCTCATTTTGTTTTCTGCCTCTAACTCCATTCCCTGAACACACAGCAGGAGCTCACCATTCCCATTTAGATGCGGAGGTAGTTCAGAATTTGTTTTCTTAGAGATTCTTTCTCTGTTGAAAATTGGTGTTATGGGCATTTGATATAGTCAGTCATTTACCAATGTGGTCCATTATACATAGCTGTCACTGATTCCCACACCCTCTTATTTCTACATACCACGAGCTGCACGTTCTGATTTATACTCTTTGGAGGGAAAACCTCCCATGTATTTCTCTGGGGGCAGTACTCCAAATCCTTACTTGTTCAAGCACAACCTAGAACTCAGTATGTGAACCAGGCTGGCCTTGAACTCACAGAGATCCATCTGCCTCTGTCTCTGGAGTGTTGAGGTTAAAGACATATGCCAACCATGCCCAGGTAATATTTTAATTTTAATGTTTCCTTTTTCCCTCTGTATGTATTTTTTTTTATTATATCATCCTCACCTTCACTATCGATTTGCTGTTTATGTTGCTTATCTAGTTATTGGTTGCCCCAGTTTTTCTGGGATACATCTTGAATTAATCAGATTTTGTACCAAACAACATTTCCCCGAAAGTTTTTCAAGGTCCTTCACCTGTATGCACCCGATTCCTCCATGCTTGGCCTTTTGCTAATGTTATGTTCATTTTATTTTTACATGGGGCATAAACACGTGTTTCTGTGAATTTTAGACAGATAATTTAAGCAAAGTTAGGTATTTACCTATTCACAGTACTTGACATTTACCATCCTTCTAGCCCTCTTCCTTCTGTGTGTAGATCTGAGTTTGTCTGGCACCGTGTTCCTCTTCCGGAAGAACGTGTACCTACCAGTTTCCTACCTTTTCTTCCTGGTAGACCCTTCCTGTGGCGCTACTAACCTAGTCAGAAGATGGCGTGAGTTTAAGGCTGGTTGTTGCGGTTCCCATCACCACAGGCTGCCAATTCTCCTCTCTCACTTTGTGTTTCCCCCAAAACACCGTTGCTCCTTTGTTTATGAAAGGAGTTTTTCCAGCCGCAGAGTTCTTTTCCAACAGGTTTTATTCTTTCAGCCACTGATGCTCTGCTGCTGGTGTCTTTTCCAAAACAGAATGTTCTGGAATCCTCGGTTCCTCCATGCGTCTGTTTTCTCTTGTTGCCCTTCGATATTTCCATCTTTTGTTTTCAGCATGTTGAATCTGCTGTGAAGTGTTTCCTCTCTTTGTCTGGCGTTGGTATGCATCCTGTCTGTTGTTCTCTGAGCTTCCTAAAACAATGATCGAGGTCTGTCATTAACGTTGGAAAGTCCTCAGCCTGTGTCTTCAAACATCTCTTCCCCCCTGTTCCATTTGTGTTCCGATTGATGCTGTTACACAGTTCTGAGTTGATTTTTGCTCTTTATACTCCAGTTCATCTGACTTCTGTTGAAGCATCCATTGAGTGTCTTCTGTGGTCACTGGTTCTTCCTTAGCTGAATCAAGCCTACTGTTCGGGCTTCAAAGGAGTTCTTCATCTCTGTTGCCATATTTTTATGATGAACATCTCTGTGCCTGTCTTTCTGTGGGTTCCAGCTCTACTGAAATGCATTTGATGTTACTCATTGTGTTTTCATTGGAGATGTCAGCATTTTAATCAGAATTCATTAAAAAGTTAACATCTGGGCCAGAAGAGATGGCTCAGTGTTTAATAGCACTGGCTGCTCTTGAAAAGGACCGGGATTCAGTTCCTAGCACCCACAGGGCAGATCACAACCATCTGTAACTCCAGCTCCAGGAGTCCAACTCCCTCTTCTGGCCTCCTCAGGCACTGTACTCTTGTGGTACACACACACACACACACACACACACACACACACACACACACACACACCAGCAAAACACTCATACGTGTAAAATAGAATGAAATCTAAAACATTAAAAGTAAAATTTGAAAAACTGTGCCGTGTCTTTCTGCTTCTGTGGGCTGCTTTGTGTCTCAGTGTGCTTTTCTTGTTTCTGGTCACATCCACAGCCTGCTGCTGCTTCTGCTTCTCCTCCTCCTCCTCCTCCTCCAAGATTTATTCACTTATTATGTATACAGTGTTCTGTTTGCATGTATCCCTGCAGGCCATAACGGGGAGCCAGATCTCATTACAGATGGTTGGGAAGCCACCATGTGGGTGCTGGGAATTGAATTCAGGACCTCTGGAAGAACAGCCAGTGCTCTTAACCTCTGAGCCATCCCTCCAGCCCCACAGCCTGCTTCTTTCACACAGGAAAATGCTGCGTAACAAGAATAGCGCCCCCAAACCACATGGTTTTCATACCTAAAACCCCCACATCCCCATAGCACAGGATACGTGCAGACCCTGACCTTCATACAAACCTGAAGGTGCCTGGTAGCCCAGTTGTCTGAGTCCCCATTGTCGGGTGCTGAGAAAGAGGGATCAGTGCAGGTTCGTGTGCAGCCTCCTGACACCAAACCGGAGGCAGCTCCTCAAGCCCCACCCACGTCATCCCTTACGTCTTGGGAAGGAGCGTTACTGTTGTGCCAATGGCCTTCTGGTCCTGTGAAACTTCAGTGGGCAGTTGTACTCCAGGCATCCTGTCATCCCTTTCGAGGGAAAACACAGAGGCGGGAAAGGGCTTTGCTTCCCCCAAACTGCCTGTTCTGTAGGCTTGCCGGCCACCGCCAACTGTTTTCCTTCACAGGCTCCTTCCTTTCTAACGCAGTGATCAAGGGCTGATGGCGTTTATCCCTGGGTGGCTAGATGTGCCATTCAATGCTGGGACAGGTTATCTTAAGTGTCGTAGGATATTACTTTAAGAAGTGTTGCATTTGTTTATGCTGGGGAACATTTGCTTAATGATGCAAAGATGGGTTGCATTCTTTTATGTTGCATTTGTTGAACTCTGAGAAGCTGTGTTGCTTTGCTAAGACACCTGATGGTCTAATAAAGAGCTGAACAGCCAGGAGCGAGGCAGGAAAAGGATAGGCTGGGCTGGCAGGCAGAGAGAATAAATAGAAGGAGAAATCTGGGAGAAGAAGAGAGAAGATGAAGGAACAAGAGAAGAAAGAGGAGGACCTTAGAAACCAGTCACCCAGCTACACATCCAGACACAGAGTAAGAAGGAATGAAAAGGTATACAGGAATAGAGAAAGATAAAGCCCCAAGGCCAAAGATAGATGGGGTAATTTAACAAAAGCTGGCTAGAAACAAGCCAAGCTAAGGCCAGGCATCCATAATTAAGAATGAGCCTCCATGTGTGATTTGTTTGGGAATTGGGTGGTGGGCCCCCCAAAACAACCAACAACACATAAGGATCCATGAAGTTGTTTCTCTTTTCCTGGAAAAATCCTTCTTGCCTTCCCTTTGGCTCAGCAAGCAGAAAAATTCCGAGTCTTGAGTAAAGGGAAAATCCAAGGAGGCTTTATTCTCTCCAGCACATGTTATTCGGCTGCAGCAAAGTGCAGTTAAGGAGTCCTGATTGCCATCTTCCTTGGACTCTGTTGGTCGCTAATGAGACACTTCCAGTGACCGGCAGTTCTCATCCCTGACATCAAGGTGATTCGGGGAGCCAGGCTGGTCTGCCAAAGGCCTGCTGATGGAATTCTTTGAGGAAAAGGAACGCTAGCCTCTCTCTCCTCAGGAAAGAGTGTCAGTTGACTGAATG